CTAAGTATCTTAATAAATTACATGACTTAACGGACCCACGGGTCTGTATTTTTTGATTGGATTAATATAAGAAACATTTATAAAAACTATATAACTTAGCACAGAACAATACCGATAGATATCTAAATAAGTAAAATTCAATTTAATTTATTAATTCACTTTTTAAGTTTTAGTTGAAATTTATTTAATTGCATTGTTTGCTAACGAATAAATATTAAATTGAGAAAATTTCTGGTGCTGATTACAAATCTGAAATTTATATTTTACATTCTTGTCAGAGCAAGGAGCCCGTGATTTGTATTATCATTTTCTTAAGTTAAATGGATAATTGTTGTTGAATTTTTCACAATTAAATAAAATTAAATTACTAAACATTTAATTTGAAAAATAGCTTCTGGGTAGAGTGTTTAATTTATTTATTCATCATATTGGGGTTTCAGTAAAACCCAAAACATAGTAAGTACAATAAAAATCGTTATCATAATTGAAAAAAGAAAACACAATTAATAAATTGACTATACAATAAGAATCAATAAATTATTCGAGGGTAAAATTAAAAACTAATATAAATTTGAGTGTACAATCTGAAGAAAATTTAAGTAACAACCAAATATTTAGCAAATAAGTTCTGTCATTAATTACTCTATTCCTTTTTCCTTAAAGGTACAAACAAATGGACAAAATTTCTAAGGACTATATTTTAGATATTCATGAAAAATTATTATCTGTAGAAAACTCTATTATAAACAAAAATATATCACTTTCTGATCTTTGTAAGATTAGTGAATACTTTCAAAATATTGAAAGCAGGATTTATTTAATTCAATACCATTCTATTGAAGCTGCGGAGAATGGACTTAAAAAGATGCCAGATCGAGAAAATGCTTATAAGGTCTTTAGCAATTTGCGAATGAGCACGAACAAAGCAATATGTTCGAAAGCCAATTATTTCTTAGAACACTGCTATGAAAATGGATTTGGATGTAAATCAAATAAGGAATTTGCTTTATCTTATTTAGGGTATGCAAAAAAAGTTGGTGGTTTGGATGATGATCTACTAAAAATAGCTGAAAACAAAATTAAAAAACTACGTAAAACCAGGAGCGTAGGGACTAAATAGTGGTTAGATTTGAATGTTTAATATTAGTATACTGTAAAGAAATATGCAGTTTATTTAACTCAATTAGTAGTTAAGAGAAAGATAATTAAAATAATAGAGATTTATCTAGTAGTAAATGTAACTACAGGTGATGCTCGTGCATCACCTGTATTTTTTTTAATTAAGAGCCTATTGTAAAAAAAATTTATTATATTTAATGAATTTATATGAGCTGTGAGAGTTAAGGCATTAATTTGGTTTATTTTATTTACAATATTAATAATTTAATTTATGAATTTTGCAAAATGAAGTATTTCGAAAGGACATAATTCTGTTAACATTAAACATAAAAACCGTTGGTATGAGGAGAAGTCATATGTTACAAAAGTCACATTTTTGATTTAATACATTGTTATTTGTTGTAAACCCAGTTTTTTACCAATAGAGTCTAATAGGGTTATAAATTGACTCGTTTATATACTGATTTGTTATCATTAATAGTTATTAAACTAGTTTATACAATATATCATATAATATGCAGACTTTTAAATTTTAATTTTTCAGAATTCTTGTTCAATAGTAAAGCAAATCTTTACATAATGTATTCGACTGAAATTTTATAAATTGGTGTTGTTTATTACCTTTTTTCTATATCTTTTTCAAAGAAAGATCGATATAATGAATTTTAATAATCTCATTCAATTTTTGGTTGCAAATCCAGGACGCGTTTAATTCTGAATAGCATGTTTAAAGCTTGCTTTAATTCATAACAAAGCCAATAAGTTAACATATTTTTTCCTTCGCTCTAGATATATCAGTTAATGATGCTTTGGATTTTGCTCATTTAACAGTTAATGATGCTTTGAATTTTGCTCATTTGAAAAGGTTAAAATATTGTGAAAATTATTCGAAAGAATCTAATTGAATAATAGCAATTTAATTTTAAAAAATAAAAAATAAAAATGTAATATGCTTATATACATATCTTTATTGATATTATTAGTCAGTTTGTAAAAAAAAAAATAGTATAGGAATGAACAAAATACACAATTATGAACGAGAACAAAGGATAGTCAATTCTAAAAGTACCGGTGAATTGCTCATATCCCAGCCACATATATTTTATCAAGAGTTCACTTTTGCCTTTCTAAAGTATTCATTCTATTAGGTAATAAAAATTCTAGTCTATGTTTCTATTTGGCTCTTAACAACGTTAAGAACTAAGAACTTGAACGATATAACATTCATCAATTACTAAAAAAAAAGTTAAAATTACCCACTTATACTTGATTAAGTTATGTTACAAAATTCATCCCTTCATGGAATAAAACTTACAACATTCTTTACCATCAGATTTACATATCAAAAGGTTATCATTATTGAGTATTTTAGTAATCTTGCCAGTTCCAGAACCTTTAAGTACACGTTTTATATTAACTTCTTCTAAATCATTCTTAGTTACAATATCATGTTCAATTTTAAATTCAATTATACTTAAAACATTCAGTCCTTAGATTATTGCAAGCACATACAGTCTTAAAAGCAAAAATCAAATAAGACATTTATCTCATAATTGACTTTGGATGACATTATGAAATCTAAAAATTACAATAAAGTAGAAATAATATATATATTAATTTACTTTTTTGATTAAGTGTAGTGTTTATAAATATTTAAAAAGATCATTATGACAAAATATAGTCCAAAGTGTTTATGTAGTTTCCAAGGTTGGCATTTTATTATATTTTTTCAATTTATTTGTAATTCTCTTTACAATTTTTTTATTTTTTATTGTCAAAATTTTAATACTAAATTACTATACTGTACCTCTAATAATATTTAATTGGTATAATAGTTATAATCAATTTGTATGTTTTTTTCAATTAAACAAATTATCCAATTAAATATGTATTTCTTGATCATATTGCTTCTTATTGTAATTGTTATTCATATTGCTCTTTTCAATCAACTCTGAATCCAGTGAATTCCATGATTTTATTAATAAACACACCTGGCTTTAGCCATGAACGTAGTGATGTGATCGCAATTTAAATTTTTTTGTTTTAAATAAAATCGATTTGTTTGAATCACAAATTATGAAAGTATAAATTTTATTTTCTATCAATTGAATTAATAAGTGTGAAAGTATAAATTGTTAGATGAATTAAAAATTTTAAATTTGGCAATTTGGCATTATCTTCAATTTTATACAATACAGTGCTGTGTTAATATCACTGGATTTAATGAACACTAGTCCCATTTATACATTTTTTCTTGTTAATTTCCTCAATTATCAAGTATCTAATTATTGATTTAGATGGCCTTTTGGCCAATACTGAAGAAAAATATATTCCTTTTTTTCGCATCACTAAGATTTATTACTAATTTTATTTATTAAAAATTTTATATTTTAACTGACAAAGAAATTTTCACAAATACCATATTTTTAAGTGTGCACAAATAAAGATATTTTTAATGAATCAGTAATTTAAAATATTTAAATTTTTCATGTAAAAGATTGTGGGATGAGAATAACACGTATTAAAAATAAATATTCTCATATTCCAGTACTATAATGTTAATGTCGATATCGATATGTAATTCGGTAAGATTAAAATAGCTTCTAACTCATTATTTTATTGTTAATTGAACATGAGACTTTATCAGGATAAAAACTAAATTGACTCCTACGGCCATGGAGGCCGTAGGAGTTTAAAAAGTTAAAGCTGATTCTCAATAGCCATGGTTCCCAATGATATTTACCTAGCAATTTTTGTAGCAAACTAAGATCTATTAATTCTTAAAATAGTTATTTAAAACAAATTCCAATTGGAATTTTAATTAGTCATTTATCACTTTTCAAAAAAAAAAGAAATTTGGTTTAATATAGTATATTATAGATTTCTTTTATTGTACTGTATGAAATGATTTTATCTTATAACATGAGTTTTTATTAATATCTTGAAAATGATGAACAATGTAATCTATAAAAATATTAGGTACTTATATAAGTGTTTTGTATAATTTGTTACCATATTTATATATACCATATATCATAAATTTTTTTTACTATCGCTATTATCAAATTATGATAAATAAAATTTTAGAACTGCAAATTACAGATTTGCCAAATTAAATTTCTAAATTTATATCTACGAATTACAAATTTTTGCTGAATTAAAGTTTTAAATTTAAATCTATGAATTATAGATTTGGCTGAATTAAATTTTTAAATTTAAATCTACTAATTACAGATTTGCCGATTAATTTTTAGCTTTACATTACATTGAATCTGAAGCTGATGATTTTTTAGAGTTCATGAATTTTACGAGCTTCGTCATGCGTCATGGTTTCGTCATTTGCCATTTCATCAACTCGAAGTTGCCTGATGAAATAGTTTCGTCATAAGATTCTATTCAGATTTTGTTCAGATCATTATTTTAAAAAATAAGCATTTTCCGTAATAAAATTCTAATCAAAGTCTGAATAGAATCTTGACCTTTTTTTATCACTAAACACAAGATTCTTGCATTGCCTGTGGCAGCTATAGAACCTAATCACAACATGAGCTCCTTGCATTGCTGCCTAATCACAACATAAAGTCCTTGTACTGTATATTATGCAATACCAATAGAACATTCATCTCTAAACAACTCAAGTGCCTAGTTGAACTTATAAACATGAAAGATCAGATTTGACCTATGATCACATGATTTCACGGACCTATGGGTCCGTAGGATCATATAAGTATCATAATATAAATAGTGGAAAACAAATTTAAACTAAAATTTTATTAAAATTTGTAATAACTTTGAAATTCCTATGTTATGGAGTGCAACCAAAATTATTCAATTCAGATTAATAAATTTCATTATCTTTTGGGCTTATTGGTTGTGTTAATGGCCTTAAAACATGATGGTCTTTCTCGCGCACACGAAGTTTTGCGTGAAAATAGATTATAATATAATACCGGTTTATCTTATTATTGGATAAATAAAACACTGACCCCGAATTTAATTTTTAATGTACGTAAATAATAATTCCATTAATGAAACATTTGGTAAGGAAATTTTAAACGATTATTATTAAGTTACAATATACAAACAAACATTGTCATCATTAGCTCATTATTAACATGCATCATTAAAATTTCGGGAATTAATTCCAACTCCGTACGTGGTAACACGTGTGACTAATCAATTCTCGACATATTGACATCATTGGGAAAAATTTTTTAGTCCTATTCTGCGCAGATAAATGAAAATCTGTGCAAAACTTCAGACTTATAGCTACAGAAATTAAATACAATTCTGTGAAAAATTTCAAAATATAAAAAATTTTGCAGTTTTTTGCATTTTCTCTTTCTGCTAAGACTTTTTTATTCAAAATAGTTAAACTAAGTTAACGTTGGGTATATTTAACGCAGAATTAAGAATCACCATTTTACGCATTGTTAGTTCCATCACAAGTTGCGAACTATTCCGCATCATATTACTACTTACAATAAATTCTGGCTAGTTATCGTTTTACAATAATATTGATATTACTGTATGCTAAGTGTTTCAAACTACATCTATAATATTAAAGATTCTTGTTTAAAATTACATATTTTTAAAAATTCAATTACTTCTTTAAATTGCATTCCTGTAAATTATTTGAATTAAATTAGTTAATTCTAGTTCTTGATTTAAGAATATAATACAAATTATGACGTGTAAGAAAAACAAAACCATACTTAGAATATACGCTAAGCATGGTTTTGCTAAACAATAACACATATTGTATAAATTAAAAAATAATTAAATATAAAAACTCACAGATTATAAATAACTTAAAACTGGAAAAATGTTAAATAATTCTAGCCGTGAAAACGATTTAGAAAATTCTATTGTGCTAAATGTTAATTTAGATGCTTTAAAAAAGTTGGCATCAAATGTGTTTCAAGTACAATGTATTTCTATACAAGAATTTAACGAAGGTGGTTTTCATAAAGTATACATCTTAAAGATGGAAGATGGTAAAGAATATATTGGAAGAGTAGCATTCCCAGTATATCCACAATGGAAGACGGAAAGTGAAGTAGCAGTTATGGAGTATATTCATTTATATACTAACATCCCTGTTCCCAAAGTTTATTATTGGAATAGTTCTGTCAATAATCCAGTAGGAGCAGAATATATTTTAATGGAATATTTACCTGGAATTCGTCTTTGTGACATCTGGAGTGACCTCAGCATGGAAAAAAAAAATGGTTCTTTTAAAAATTATTAAAATTCAATTAGAACTTAAAAAACTCACATTTTCAAAAATTGGTTGCATTTTTTTTGACAAAAATGGGTTTAAAATTGGTCAGGTAATTGAATGCAACTTTTTTACTGGTGAGCGAGTAACTTTACCCACCATGGAACTGGGTTCTTTCAACACAACAGAAGAATATATTTTAGCCGTTATTCAAAACCAGATTCATTACTATAGAGCTTTTAAATCTAAAGATAGTTGGATTCCAAAATATGAAGAACTATGCAAATTGGTACCAAAATATTTTCAGAATGGAAACGACACATTCGTATTAACACATGGTGATTTCCATTCATCAAATATTCTGGTCAATAATGATGAAATTACAGGAATTAATGATTGGGAATGTTCTGGTGCATTTCTAGTTGAGTTCTTATGCACTTATCCGATATGGATAACTGAAAATCCTACAATAGAACCAGTTAACAAAGTATCAAAAGATAATCTAATGCTACAAAAGTTTTTTCGTGATGAAATGTCTCGCCGAGATTCTAATTTTATACATATAATTGATAATATAGATGAAGAAAAAAAAAATTTTATTCTGTAGCATTTAGTCAAGGAGTATGGAAAGTAGATGATTTTTTGGATAAATTCGAAACAAAGTAATTTTTTGATACATGAATAGCCTTATTAAAATTAATAATAAATAATACTGTAAAAAAATTACCGTTAGCACATTTACAAATTTATATTTACGCACTAGTAAATTTTAAAAAATGTTGAATGGCAACATTCAACTGCCATTCAACATGTCGAATCATGTCATTCGATCATGCCATTCGACATGCCATTCGGCCATGCTATTCGATCCAATTTGACTACTATTCAATATATCGAATTATGTCATTCGATCTGCCAT